CTAGTTTTTCCCTCCTAATCGATTCTTTACATAGCATAAAGTTGTTGGGACATACAACGTGCCCTGATTGGAGGAGAGGTGACTAATTTTTATTGGGGTGACTTTAAATCGGTTACATTCATCAAATATTCAGATTAACTGCTCAGATTTATTTGACCATTAAATAAAGGTATAGCCCAATAGCATAATTAATTGTGAGCCCAAAGCTTACGGCCCACATAATCTCACACGAACTAGTATGATGAATTAGGAAGTAGTGATTGGGGTGGTCAAATGGGCCCCTTCAAGGATAGGTACATAACCTTGTAATGAATATTGAGACCTCCCAATCCCAGCCAGACTGAAACTTGCCGACATATGACATTAGATGAGTCGCAAGCTACTTTAGCTATCTGTTGATTAAGTACACTCTGTTGTTCGCTGGGAAGCTCGTCGTTAGATAGAGTGAAAGAAGACTAGCTACAGCTATTGAATATAGTCGTTCGACTTTCCTATTGGAGGGTGTAGTGAAATAGGTACTATTTAAAAAAACAAAAAAAAACCTACACAATAAAAATGGAACACATAAAAAATGTGTTCACAAAATATTCAAGACCCAACAGAAAATTGCAATCTAGATCTTAGTCTGCAAGGTCAAATACTCGGAGCGTGTACACACTCATGTACGGAACACATATATTATTATGTAAGATGAGCCCACACTAATACAACAACCAAACTTGAAATGTTGAAAGTGATGGTGTATCAACATAATGAGCAACAGTTTACCATATGTAAGCTCCCATCTTTTTGATGGTTATAATCTCAATCTGCATTGAGAGTGGCATTTGTAACGATTTTACGTTCATCCTATATTCATTATCAATCACCAAACTACATTTGCCAAGAAACAAACCATCACCCGAGAAGGAGCTCAAACAGCTTCTGAAAGCATAGAACACTAACAAGCTGATATTTGGATAAATTGAAGTCGGAATAAATTAAAAACAAGCGCAATTCGGCATGCCAGTCTCCCAAAAGTCTGAATATAAGAGCTGATTTCAACGAAGAACAAACAAAATTTTGCAATATCCATAACTTCCCAGTGACGTCAAGTTCATCCTTGAACAGGTCCCGAAATGAATGCTCTTCCCGGTTGCCTATTTGCCAAAGGTCCATGGCATCCAAGAAGCTGAACCAATTAAGAAATATAAACGTTACAAGTATTTACAATACTAAGAGTTCAAGGATATCAAACCAGCAATGAACTAAAACTGTATGATCTGTTTGAACAAATATTATATCCCTGACATTAAGTGGGTAAAACAAGTATATGTCACAAAGACAAACCTTGGCATTAACACCATCAGAGAGAATCCTATTCTCCGATTTCCATTTCAGGTAATCAGTGCGGTTATATTTGGTGAAGCCCCTGAAAGTAAAAACACATCCCAAGTGAGCAAACAGAATCAGTACCCATCAAATTGTATCTTACCAGTTACCACAAAATAAAATTATTTGATTAATCATTTATCCATAAAAAAATGACGGATAAAATAAATGATCAACAAGAGAACATAATAGATTTTCAACAAAGAATAGCATCAGAAGAATTACTGGGTCTTACAGCTAAGCATTCAGCATGATAGCAAAACAAGCACAATGAAGAAACAAGGATTTATAAGGTTATCATCAGAAACAAGTAGTCCACCGAGGAAAAAAAAAAACCATAAGAACCCATACCATTTCCTACTAACAATGATCTTCTGACGACCAGGGAACTTGAATTTCGCACGGCGCAAGGCCTCCTGAGCATGGTGGCTGTTCGCATCCTTGCAGCGAACAGACAAGAGGACCTGACCAATTGCCACACGAGCACAAGTCCCCTGTGGCTTTCCAAAAGCGCCCCTCATTCCAGTCTGGAGCCTATCAGCCCCAGCACACGAGAGCATCTTGTTGATACGCAAAACGTGAAAAGGGTGGACTCGCACCCTCAAGTGGAAAGTGTCCTTTCCGGAAAACTTGGTCATGTACTTGTTGCAAGCGATACGGGCAGCTTCCAAAGCTTCGCTCGAGACATTTTCCTTCTCCCAACTGACCAAGTGCACACAGAAAGGGAACTCATCCACCCCCTTTTTCTTCATGCCCACATCGTAAATTCTGATCTTTGGATCAGGCACACCACGGCAGTATCGTGATTTCGGGTAGGGTTTGTTCTTGATCTGACGGTAACACCTAGCAGGTCCTGGGGGCAAAAATAATTAAATAATAGGAGAAACCCATAAACTTACATCATGTATAACACATTAAGAATCGAATTTTTTTCTCAAGATCAAAAATTACCTTGAGAGATAAAGGGACACACACAATCAGATTAAAACTCAACTCAAATTGATACAAGTATACAACAGATGCTACTATTGTACATCAGGATTAAGCAGGATAGCATTTACAGTTTTACACTAAAGGGATTCCAAATTTTATCTCAAACTAATACATTCTCCTGAGTTCTAACATTTCATATAACATGATTAAGCAGGATACTAATTCAATATAACATGATTAAGCAGGATAGCGTCTCTACACTAAATGAATTGTACATCTAATCTGATCCTACAAACATTCTCTGAGTTCTAACATTTCATGACACTAAACCGGAGACCCAACAATCAACTGAATCTAACACATAGATGGAACGAAATTTCACTGGAAACAAGAAACACGGTCACAAAAATGAAAAAATTAACAGAAGCTCGCGAATCTGGATTAACCCAAGGAGGCATAAACAAAATCCGAAGGTCAACGTGTACCATGTCCCGAGTTCGAGTCACCCCGGGGAATTGGGGAACCAGTATTGATCCCCTTTTTTTTAAAAAAAAAAAAACAATTATATATATTGAATAAAAATGTGAAAAGAAATGGCTTACTTCTCCCCATGGCGAGCTTCTTCTCAGTCTTCTCGGCCGAAAATCCACCCCGGAAAACCAAACCCTAGCAAATAAGCTGAACTGGTC